GAATCAGCCAGGGATGTCCACTAGCATCTAAAACTCCCAACAACAGCAACAAAATCAGAACACCAATGGCTGCATTAAATGCACTAACTGGGACTAGTAGAGCTTCCTAGATTTGAATTTTACTGGCAAGCAAAGAGTCCAGAACCGGGCAAGGCCCAGGAGAACACTCTATCACCAAAGAAGGAAGCACTCTTTCACCATCAGTCTTGAGAGATGGCAAATTAAATGACATCATTCTGCAAATACTCAGTGGATCTTGGCATCACTGAAGGGAAAGTCTGAGAGCTCGAGGAGCCATCCATCTCAAGGGATCACAGGGTCTTCAGTGACACATGGGCAAGACATGCGAAAACAGACAGGATACATGATGTAAATTGACCAAAAGCAATTAGACAGATTTCCAGTGGTACAACAAGGCAAGTTTTCAGCTGCTGCCAGCTCTTCCTCAGCCTTGGCAATAACCCTTGGGATTGTAAGCCCTCACAGACACCGAGTTCAGGGTGTGCCAGCTGAATTCCTGGTGCTGACTACTGCCAGTGGAGTCTTCAGGAAACTTAATGTGAAATTTCTGCAAGTAATATTTGTAGATACTCCTGATGTGTGAGTTCACTGGAGAAACAAGCCTCCTGCTTGAGACCCAAATGAATACTTCTGTTGAATTGAGGTGCTTAGTGTCACTAAAATCAGTGTTTGACATTTAATGGGAAAGGGGCAGAGTTTCAGACTAATCAAGTCCAAGTCGGGTTACATTTCCATCTCTCAAGACAAGAAAAAATGGCTCCAGGAGCTGGCAAGAAAAGTCCTGCAAAAGTACTTGGAAAAAGTCAGGGAAGCTAGGCTGGCTATCTGAGTAGTAAAAGAAAGCTGGCAGTAGTCAGCTTCTATTTGTTTAATATAAGAGATCTCTATACTCAGTTCCATCAGAACAACTGCTCCCCAAGGCAATTGGAATACCTCAGCTTTGTCTAGGAAATAAAGTGGCTCAACAAAAGAAAATTACTATTCATGGGGGATGTGCTGAAGGGGTAATTCAAGATTTACACATATGGTCATGGACTCTAAATGAACCATTGAAGCTCAACTTGGCAACATGATCTCAGGATGTATTATTCTACAAAGTATCAGCTCAAAAGAAGTCAAACACTTGGAATTTTTAGAAAAGGAATGGAGAACAAAATGCCATTTTCCAGCTGTGTAAGTTAAGATACACCTGTATCATAAATATTGTACAAGGTTTGCCTCCTCCCATCACAGAAAATACACAACTTGGAACTAGGGAAGGTTCAGAAAAGGGCAATTAAGATGAGAAACAGCTTCCCATGGGGAGTAAAAAGACTGATACTCTTCAGCTTGGTAAACAGATGACCAAATGAAAGGTAAGTAGCAGACATAAAAGCAAAGGTAGGACACAAAAGCTGGGGGGATGAACTGTCCATTAAAAGCTTCAGAGATATCAAAGGAAGATGTCAGTGGGTTCTTGGCACAATATATAGCTGAACTTCATAACCTGTTGCTACACAAATTTGTGGCTATCACTGGTTTACTTCTATTCTAAACCAACAATTATGCATTAAGTAAATCTCAATGGACTTTTCATCCATGAGATACAAAGTCATGATTTTGTAGGAAGACCATTGAGTATGACAGATGAGAATAATGGACAGAACGTCTTTTGGGAGCTGAAAACTCAGCCTGCAGATATTGAAGTGTTGCTCTGGTGTTAAGATTTTGTCCTTTCTATAGCTATGTGTCCTCTTTGGATAGCAGATATTTTCCTTTAGAAAATGTGAACCTTGAGAACCAATATATTACCACAGGCATAATGATGGAAGCTGAAGCTTCAGCAGCAGCAACTGATGCAGTCTGAAATACCTCATCTTCACATTTCTTTGAGCAACAAAGACAAGAAGTCCCTCCAGCAGTCAAGAAAATGCATATATTAAGATTAAAACTCATTTAAAAAGCAGCATTCAGATTACTGCTCATGACAATTAGACAATGAAAGGATTCCAGTACAGAGCTCAAAGAATCTATGCATTAAACCTCAAATGTATCTCTAGCCTGTTTCATCATTTTAACCTACAACCAGTGAAGAAAACTGGAAGCTTGTGCTCTCCTCTCATACTAGAGTTGGTTGATATTGGCTTTGTCGTTTATTGGAAGGCACAGATTGGCTGGTGGGAGTTTAGGATTAGCAGTCCTGGTGCTGGCTCTCCTGACATTACCTAGGGGGAGAGCAGACTGCTCTACTCAATATCCCCAACTGCCCCTCCAAACCCATTCCCCCAGACTTCTGGGAAGGGCTAAGGGCAGTGACTTAGAGGAGATGAGAAGTGTTCCTGTTCTGAGGACAACATAATGAGAGAAGTATATTCTCCTGCTCCTAACTTCAGGCTCCTAGTCCCTGTGGCAGGTCACTGAAATGGGAGATGCCATTCCTGTGCTGATGCTCAGTGTTACGGTGTGGCACTGAGGACCACGGGGTGCAGTTACCTGGGAAATGCTGAGGTGACCACCAGGCATGTGAAGCAGGGTGTTGGGTATCTACTTGCCAGGAAGGAGAGAGAACACAGATCATCATGCTCCTGCATTATAAGGCACGCTGAAAGAGCCTCTTGTCTTTTGCCAGCTTGAGGTGATATGAATGTACAAGAAGTACTGGAAGTAAAAATTCTACAGATGGAACACCTGTCTGTTACTCTCCAATGTAACCTTCATCAAGATTTAATTTTAGGAAAGGAGGAAATTCAGAAGTTGTTTGCCTGAGGGATAAAGCAGTGGTTCTGACAAAAGCACCACAATACCTGGAGCTCATTTAAAAAAATAGAGAAACTTAAGTCTTCTTTGGTTGTGTTTGCCTGAGGGATAAAGCAGTGGTTCTTACAAAAGCACCACAATACCTGGAGCTCATTTAAACAAATAAGAGAATCTTAAGTCTTCTTTGGTTCTTCCTACCTCCGTATGTGCACCTGAATGCCTATAGCAGAGACATTAGCAACATCTCCACACTGAGTCTATTCATACATGGAAAAAGTATCTAAAGGATTTTCTGGACTGGAGCTGACATGGCAGCACTTCCTACACTAATCCCTAGCACGTGGATACACTGCTGTAGCAGCAAAGATTGCCTGAACAAATACTTCACCGAATACCAACTACTCCAAGACTTTACTACCCACAGCTGGCAGTTCAGAATATTCCTTCTTCATTTCTCTTAATCATCTTTGGGAGCCATGGAGCTTAACCTCAAGTAAGGCATCCTTGGTAACATCCATTTCATACTCACCAGCCCCCTTTGAAATGGAGTCCTACACTGACTCCCTCTGCGGTGGGGTTTTAAAGCTTCCTGGCAATGTCATGCAGTGCGTTTCATGAAAGAACATCCCATTATGTTTTCAGGCATCTTCTACTACCAGTCAGGTTTGCGTTGTTGCTGAAATATTTTCAAGAAGCCAGATGCTTTTTCTGTGTCATTCTGGAGGATCTCTGTTGCACCCTGGCCTGACCATACTTTTGGATTTGGAGTAAGAAGAAATCAATTATTTTTTCTTCTATCCATCAACACATTAATAGTCCCATGTGAGAATGACTTACAGTCAACAGCAGCATAGGCAGGTATGTAATAGGCCTCTGCCCGTTAGGAAGACAATGTAGGTTGCTTCCCTGATCATGGAAATATTATCTAGTCAGGCTTTATGCTTAGCAGTTGCACAATGGCCTTCAAGTTAATCAGTGTTCATTACACACGCAAGAAGAATGGGGCTCCCAAACTCAACTTCAAAAGTACTATCTCATGCACTGACTTTAAAGTCTGCCAACGTCTTCTCTTCCTAAACTATCAGTGAGAAATGATTGGGGTATATGTTATGAAGAAGAAACACTCAAGAGTCTTCTCTTGAATCTCTCCGGCTATTTCCCCTCCTTTCAGCTGTGACACTGACTGCCATTCCCTATGTCCTACAATATTCCCACATCAGGGCCTCACACCAGCTGCTCTGACCCATGTTTTTGGTCTCCGCTCTCTATCAGCCTGCAGTGCTGCTTTGCGGTGTGCAGGACAGTCAACAACAACTGCGCCCAAACAAGTCCACGTGGCATTTGCAGCCTCAACTACACAGTCTGGCAAAACAGAAGGACCTTATAAATATTATCTCTTCCAAGCATTTCAACTGATTAACAAGTAGATCTGAAGCTCAAGATCATCATTCAAGCTTTGTGCAGCTGGAAGCTCTTGCACCAAACTGCAGTCTTTTGTGCAAAATTCCACTCTGCTGAAATATGTTGGCTGTCTCAAGTAAGGGGCTTATGGAGAAGACTGGAAAGAGCACGCTCCTGTTTACATGGGAGCCAAAGAATCCATCTCTGCTACTTGAAACACCTACGAGTGCATTATTTATCTGTAAAGCACTTGGGTAACTTATCCCTAATTTAGTACATCTTCAGACAAGAATCATTCCACAAAGCCATTTTCATCCATGACTTCCCTGTCCTGGAAAAAGCTTCCATTGGCTCATACTTGTGAAGAGGTCCTTCCTGAATATCCTCTGTCTTTCTATACATAAAATGTCTCTCTCAGTTGTCTCTCCCAGTAAGTAATAAAGGGACTGTTTTATCACCTGACAGGGAATAGTGGAAAAGAGCAGGGAAAAAATAATTCTGTATACAATGCAGCAACAAACACAAACACTCTGTATTCTTCCCTGACCTTTCACTTAATTTTGAATTGTAAATGGTTACTGATAGCAGAAAAGGGAGGAAGATAAATATACACAATAAGAAACTTTTCTGCTTTATAAGTTTAGTTGCAAATCCCAAATCTTTATGCTTGAAAGTAACTTTTCTTCATAATGAATCCGGAATGCCTAAAAGTCATGGGAAATCTGTTCTTCTGAAATACAATCCTGTGGTCTTTAACTGGGAACATCTGGTAGAAAACTCTACTGGTCAAAATGTACTAGCTAATAAAGACCAGAATACATTTCCACAGTTAGGGAGTTACGCATGTTTTATATAAAAGCATTCATGACATTACAAAGCAATCAACACTTAAAGCAAAGGCAAATATTATTTTGTAAGGCATGAAGGAAAGATACATCATTGCAATTTAAAATGAATTTTATGGCAATAAAAGAACATACTTTTTAAAAAAATAACAGAGCCAAATTAAAATATAGCCAAACCTAAACCGTCAAACTTCTTAAAGCAAGAGATCAGACAATTATGTCAAATATGTTTAATTTTTTTCAAAATAACTGATGGCAAAATAAAATATTTACATCATGTCATACTGTGTAAACATGTAACATCACTGTACAAAGAAATATACATGCAAAATAAAGCAAAAATTTAACTAAAACAATAAAGGAAAATAATACACAAACATAATGATATGAGGTTGGTACGAATAACGAATACACATCCAGTTTCGAAGTCAGTTGTTTTCTTTTAAAAAGTTTCTGTACAACTTTACAAAAAAAAAAAAAACCAAAAAACCAAAAAACCAAAAAAACAAAAAAAAAAAAAGAATAAATAGGATTCAGTGGAAGCCACAAAGCTCAAAACTAACCCAAGCTAGGTTATGGCTTAACACCCATATATCTAACTCTTGTGGGATGTCGGCTTGGTTTCCTTAAACATGGCATTTCACACAAACAAAGATGACAACACACCCACATGAACTCAGTGATGCACAGAAAACCATCTCTGTCTTTTTAAATATCTCACGCTAATATTACTTCAACCTTAAAAACAGTTACTAAGACAATTACATTACATGTCCAATTCTCCTCATCTCACTGCTACTTGCCAAATGTATTCTTCACCAAAGACCACAAGATTAATTTGTTCATTTCACAGAAAGAAGTAAAAAAACAGATTTGAAAATTCTAAAAAGTAGTTAAGTGTTGAGACTGATTTGGGGAAAGTCAGACTTTGGCATTTTAAATATAATAGTAATAATTTTAAAAAGTGTCACTCTACTTCTTAACCAGTTTGACATTTGGGATACTAATCTCTCTCTCTCTCTTAATTTTTCTTCTTTTTAACAATCCTTAAAACTGACTAGTCTTGACTAAATTCCATGCTAATCCTCATCTTAAACTAATAATGACAGTGTGGTACAACACACCCGCCCATGCCCACCCAGAACCCCCAGTCACACAAACAAAACCATAAAGCTCGCCGTACTATGTGCTTTTTCTATATATTTATTACAGTTACAACAGAGGTCCTCATAAATAGTTGCATAAAATGTTAAAGCCACAACATTGCACATGATATGAAAGAAAACAAAATCCCAAATGAGTGCATTTACAGTATTTCATCCTGCTGTATACTGCTTGACAATTGGGTCAGCAAGCTGGGCACCAACCCAAAGTTCTTTTCTAGGGGGACAGTGACTACTGACCCAAACTGAAGACCCGCACAGTGGTATACCACCATTTAGGAAGGAGGGAGGAAAAAAGGATGAGAGGAGAGGGAAAAAAAATTACAGACCGAAGGCAGGTAACAGTCTATATACAAGTAAGGCCTACATTTTATCAGAGCAAAACAATTCATTCTATTTGTATGCAAAATCTTTTGAGGTTGGATGCACTTAAAAGCAGAGTCTGATCTCAGTGCACTGCTACGTGAGATACATACAGGCGAGGCAACTGGAAAGCTCTAGGACCAAGTGAAAATCAGATGTTATAAATGGAGGCCGTACCAATGGGCAGCCATTTTAGTGAGTCTTCTCCAGGCATGATCTGATTTTTGTTTAACACCAGTGCTTTAAACATAGGCATTTCTTCCTTGAATAAATCTTGAAAACGGTAGCTAAGTTCACTTGCAAAATTCAACTCTTGTTTATTAAAAAAACTATTTTTTTTTGCAGAAACCTGAATAAAATACTGTTGCTGTATCGCTTGTGACTGCTTTTTGCAGAGTACAGTGCTATTGTCCTCCACCCCCGTGAAGTCTGCATCTCCAGTCCCCCGCGCCGCCCTGCGCGGGTCCCTGTGGAATGCATTTGCACACGAACATTCACTAGCAGCTGGTTGGCTTGGGGTTTGCTTTCCTCAAAATTCAAGTCAACAGCTGATTGGCAGGAGGAGTCTATCTCCAGTCTGATTGATTGGCAGGAGGAGTCCATCTCCAGTCTGATTGATTGGCAGGTGAAAGAGAATGAGAGAGAACTTCAAGCAAGGTCAAACTCTTGGCAAGAGCCTGCTCTGTAAGAAGTTTTTAATGCTACGGATGGGTCGAACATCATTCTGGTGTTTTCGCCGCTCAATGAACGAAGTCAGTCTGGATATATCAATGCTGTCAGCACTTTTGCTATTCCCCAGCTGCAGCCATTGCTCCTGGAGGGCCAGTGCAGCCGAGGGACGCTTAGCTGGGTCATCCTGAAGTAGGAAGCATACAAAATCTTTGGCCTTCTGGCTAACTCCTTTGAAGTAGTCATCTGGGAAACTAAAGTCTAAGCGGCAAATATTCAGGCAAGTTTCCTCTACGCTTTCATCCAGGAAAGGAGAGACGCCACTAAGAAGGACATAAGTTAGCACTCCAATGCTCCAAACATCTGAAGTGAGTGAAACAGGATTTCCAAGAATAATTTCAGGAGCTGCAAACTCTGGGTTTCCAAGTAACTGGTGGATATAATATGTGGTATTGAGCTGGACTGCATCTCCAAAGTCAGCCAGTTTTATTGTTGGCTTAGTGGAACTCTGGTCCACCAAAATATTTTCAGGCTAGAAAACATAAAAGCAGAAGTTAAAATGTCTTTTTTCAAGTCAGTCTAACACACATTTAATGCTCCAATTTAACTGCTTCCCAGCAAGTGTGGTCAGCCCTAGAACATAAACAGCTGCACTCTGTAAGGATCACTGCAGAAGGCCAGCTCTGCAAAGCTCTGAGGCAGTCTTAACAAGGCTTCCCCAGACCAACCAGCAGGTGGGTTCTTGCCTACTGCAACATGCAGTGAATGTGCTTTAGCTGTTGTAGCTGCTGGCACTATATTTTTGCAGGAAATATAGCTCTGCCAGTTAATACTTCAGTTGTTCGTGACAGCAGCTTTGCAAAGCTTCACAGGAACTGTGTTTCAAAACTTAAGCTTAAGGAACAACAATTATGTATAGAGGGTGAATAAAGCAACTGCTCCATTTGTTTTACAACAGACACAAACAAAACCCTTGCATTTAAAGACTGGAAGACTTTGTAAATATTTGCATGATGCTTTCAACAGAATCCAGCTTTATTTAGCAACTCTTTCATGTAATGCAGCTGTACAGATGGAAGACAAACCCTGTTAGGAGACTACAGCAGCAGAAGATCCTGTTGGATGCATATGACTTCAAGAGAACTGCCCCATTATTGGTGAGCTGAAAATGGACTTATTACTACTGTTTTATTTCTAAAGCTAACGCTGCTGTAGCTGTAATCTCTGCAAAGTAAGAGCAACTTACACCTGCAACTAGTTTTTAATTAGTTCATCTGTATGTGAGACCAGAAAAATTACTGGTGAACTCTCTATAGCACACTAGAAAAAATTTAATGGGATGAAGACCCAAAACTGGCTCTGCTTGGAAAACAGAAGTACATGGAGGGAAGAAACTCAGGCTTTTTGCTTCTTCTCACCATGACCCCATTTGGCTAAAGAGACCCTGCCTATAAAGATGACTTGTCAATGCTAAAATTATTATTCATATACACGTGAAAAAAAAAAGTGTAAGGAGTAAGTTTTTAATTAATATTTACATTGGGACCTTCTCATATATTTTTTTAAACTAGAATGCATAAAACCCTTGTGGTTCAAGTAACACACAAATGGAAGAACAAAGGCCCAAAGAGGCACCATTAATTTAGGTATTACAGCCGTCAAAGTGCAAAGATGAGAAACATTTTTGCAGCAAAAGAGGAAAAGCAGTCTCTTTCACAATAAACTCTATGCTATTTGAGAAAGAAATTGATTTCTGGTGCAAGTTTATCAGAAATTAAATAAATAAATGAATAAATAAAAAAATAATCAAGCAAAACTTCCTGTTGGCAATTATTTCCAGCACAAAGGGCCACACAGGGCAAGCAAGCTATAAGGAGAAAGCACAGGGAATTGAAAGTTTCTGCTTTGCTGCCTGAGTTACCTAAAGCATTTAGGAATGAAGCCCCAAGCCATTGGGGAGTCCTTTATGACTCTCAAAGCACTTCACAGCTCTCTGTTCCCAGCTGCAAGTTTTCTAGAAGAGGGAGATTTTTATGCCCGGAATGATGCACACTGCCCAGAATCCCATTAACACCTCACCTTTAGGTCCAAATGTGCTATTCTGCAGTTATGAAGATACTGCACAGCTTCCAGAATCTCTCCCAGGTAGAGTCTGATCTTCCCTTCTGTGAGGTTTCCCCATCGCACGACATAGTCCAGAAGGCGACCCTGGTCAGCCCTGTTAGAATTACAAGGGTTGTATTTTCGATTAATCCATGCATCACAACTGAAAAATACCTCAAGAGGCTACAGACTACAGCAGTAACTGCAGATTGCAGAGCTTACAACACAAAGGACTGGGGTATGAAGAGGAGGTATCATATCTAGCTACCAGATCACAACATTCCTCATTCATTTTTGTGGCCATTTGACACAAAAATACTGTTGAACCTTCAGACTAAGATAATCATCCACATGTAAATTTAATATCACTATTTTCTGTCTTCTGAGTGTTAAACTCAACATTTTAGTAACAGCATTAGACAACTGCAGTATTTTACTTAGGTACTTTCAAACTGCTATGAAATTTTAGAGCTCCTTATTCATTAACCACCATAAATACCCCAGAAAGTCAGCTGTAAAGTTGCATTTTACAGATAATTTAGAGTCCACACACATTTCTAACACTAGTATGTAGCTGGTGGAGGTCTCAAAGGTATCGAGAAGGCCAATGAGCTGGGGATGCTGGAGATTCTGCATGACTCCAAGTTCATGGGTAACGTGGTCTCGCTTCATCAACTTCTTATTCACAAACTTAGTGGCTACTGCTCGCTTGGTTCCCTTCTGGTCACACTTCTTAACGACAGAAAATCTGCCCCTGGAACACAACAATGAAAGGAAAGATTTAACCAAGAGATGCAATAAGGACATACTTGAAAGATATACGCCAAGAGATCTGCTTTTGATCTCTAATAAGTTACCCTTACAGAGGAAGGTTCTGGGTATGAGAATTTTCAGTGCATGCATCTACTACAAATTATGTCTGTAGAAACTTGACAGAGATCTGTTATATCATACTTGCAGACAGCCTGTCAGAGTAATAACCAGCTTTCAAAGGTCATCATTAAGTTGGCCCACTGTATATTCTACAGGAGTTATCTTGCCCATTTTCAGACTTCTGTCTGTAGTTTTCATTCCCTAAATAAGAAGGTTGAGGAGAACTTCACTACAGAAGCAGTGTCAGTCACTGTAAGGGATGCTCAAAAAATATATCCCTTCAAATAAATCCCTACAATACCACTTCACCCTAACTGCATTCTGTTTCTGTAGTGCCATCTAGTGCTGGTAAAAGTTTTGCTTCCTCACGTCTATTAAATCCACACATTAAGTATTTATCAAGGAGAATTTAATTTTTGAAAGAGAAGTCAGTATTTTGACACAGACAGCTTTGGAGATCAGCATACAGAACATACCTGCCAAGCTCAGCCACTTCACTATAGTGGGAATCAAAGTTGTCTTTCCAGATGACCATGATCCCATCACTTCCAGGACCTAAACAAACAAACAAAAAAGAGAAGGACAGTATGTCCAAGATTTAATACACTCAGATCCCTTGGCTATGAGGGGAATCACCCCATCTTATTAATCCCCATATGAGACACAGGGTGGCAGCAGAACAAACTGGATTATACACCAAGGCAGCCCAGCCAATGCAGTAGAACCAATTCTATTGTGGAAACAATTCAGGTTACAGTGGCAACTGTCTGTACAGGAATGAGTAACCTTAGCAAGCTGAGGGAAACAGTAAAAAGAAAAGACATCTTACATTATACCTTATAATGCATAATACACCTACCACTAGAAAAAGGAGTGGCCAGGCAGTGTAGCAGCTACCTTAGAGAGCAACTCCTACTTTTCAAGAAACACTAGTATAAAGACCAAAATTTCCCTTTCAGCCTCTTTTATATATTGCAACACACTCATCCAAGGGCTTAGCTACTGTCTGTCTTGGGTCAGTGAGCAGAAAGTGCCTGAAATAATCACCACCTCAATATGTCGTCAGTAAGGCACTTACTATAGCTACCAACAGGCAGAGCTGAAAGAGGCTGAATATAAATACTCCAAAATTTCAGATGAGATTTGGAAGGGACATATCTTTCACAGTCCGGTTTAAAATTCCAGGAAAGCAGCAAAGCTCTTTGAAAAAAAGGAAGAAAGACTGTATTTTGAAGAGGTATGGGACAAGTCCCTGTATCAGCTGAGACACTTCATGTCTTGGGGTTTTTTATGTGAGTCAGTTTGAGACAAAGCCATTGTGCTAGAATCTATTAACTAATTCTCATCAGTGGAAAAATATATGGACCTCACAATACACTAAAGGACCCAGATGGCATCAATTGTTATGAACTGCCTTGTAAGAAAATTTGTGATCCTGCTGTCTATATTTTCCCTGTTTCTAAAAATGGAGAATTATGAACACTTAGGACAAGAATAAGTGTGTGTACGAACACACCCCAAAACTTATCACTATGTCATCAAACACATAAAAAAAATTTTTTTTTTCCCTTTGCTGTCTGCCTGCAGAACAAAGGCATTTTTTTATTTTTGCACGTTTCCTTTTCATTCCTCACATTCAGGTTGCCTTGTTTCATGTACTGAAATGGTTCAACTGTAGATCAATGATGCAAAGACAAGAACTAGTTGTATGTTCTCCTAAAAATTGTGGCTTTACAGTTCAAGCAAAGGAGAAAAATAAATTACAAAGTAATGCTACTCCTTTCTTATCTGTACACTTTAGAAATTATGTGAGCATCATAACATTCACTGAGACTAAACTAAGAATGCTGATGATAAAATATGATTTTATCACTGTATTTGAACTTGTACTGGCAAAGTGAATCCATGTTGACAGTACTGTGGAATGTGTGCATGAACCTCTAATCTGTTATATCCTAAAACTGCATCTATTCCTGCTGAAACAGGAATATTATATTATAATATATTACAGGTAAAAAGGGTCCTTATCAATACTCCTTTAACAAAGGGGCACCCAGGAGCTGAGCTTTGCTTTTTACTCTTCTGTGGGTACCAGGCACTTCAACTGCACCTAGGCTCTAGGAGAAGGCAGAGGCTGGCCTACCTAAAACTCGTAGACTGGCGGAGGATGAAACCGAACCCATGTCGTTTGCAGCTATGCACGTGTAGATACCATCGTCTTCCGCAGTGACGCCAACGATCTTCAGCGACGCCTCTCCCAAGTCACTGCAAAACACAAGGGCAGCTGTTAACTTTACAGTTACTGCATAGACCTTAAGCTGTGGAAATCAGACAAAGTGAGGTTGATATTCTTTATGCTTCTTATTCTCCAGTTCTTATCTCTCTCTGGATGAACACAGTAAAACCCTGCCCTGCCATATCAGAAGCGTCCACCAGAACCTGAGCACTTTGTGTTCATTCAGTATCTTGGGAAGTCCTACAAATCACTAGAAAAACAACCCAACTGACACTCTGTCTCACCATGTCTCAGGCTTTACTGTTGGAAAAATCAAGTGCTTCCCCTGCTTCTTCCTGCTTCCTTTACCTACTTCAAGTTTTTGGAAACCATATTGAGACAAATATCCATCCTTGTTCTTTCTGAAAGCCTCGTTTCCATCCATGACTCCCAGGAGGTGTCAGCTGATCAGTCATTTGTGCTTTCAGAGCATTCACACCTTGTAAGAGCAGGCTTGCCCTTTAACACAAAAGTCATGCTTCATCACAGCTCTGGAGACCTCAGAATCTGGGAGAATGAGGATGGAAGGAAACTAGAAAGGACTTAAGTTTACTCTCTGCTCCAGGGCAGCGACAGCATTAAGCTAGATAATACCAGAGCAGAAAGACTCTGCAGGCTCTTCCTTAACTTTTCTCACTGTTCAACCACCCTTTTTGTTTGATGCTTTGTCTTTAAAAGTCTGCTTAAAGTTTCCTCTGTGCAATAAATTTCTAGTAGTCTTTTTACTATCTGCCATGGACATGAACAACAGATAATTTAATTTGCAAGTCTCTTAAAAATGTGAATACTTGGTAAGTCCTCCCTACACCTTTCACCTCTAGGCTCAAACCAATCCTGATATCGTGTTGTTTTTTCCCAATATAATGCATATTTTCAAGATCTTTTATCAGACTTTCCATTGTGAGTCAGGATTCATCTCAGCTGCTACAAGTCATTTTACTGACTGACCTAAACCTATTTGCAATGGTCTTCACCACACAATCTCAGGGGAAAAAAAAGAAGGTAAATTTTAGGAACACAGGAAGATGACACTTTTTCCCAACTCAAAGAACATTTCAGGATTATTTCTAAATATCTGTCAGCCACAGCCAAGATTATTCACTGGATATAATTCCGTAATGAGTAACAGAGAATTAAACCTAGCAAATTTAACTCTTGCACATCTCACGACAGCCCTGGATGCAGGAGTAAAGCTGCCACACTGCCTTTGTCTTCCCATTAAACAGAAACAAAAAACCTAATGAAAAGAAAAAGCAGGAGCACCAGGAAGTAAAGAACAGTATAACATGCCATCAAGTTTTCACAAAAGAGCCCTTCATTCTGAATTAAGAGTATAATTCATAAATACGACATTTCTTCACACTGAAGTTACAAATTAAACTACATTTTCTGTATGTAAAAGATGTTTTTTCAGAAAAAAAAAAGGTATTTTTTAACCTGCAGCTTCCTACTCCAAAATAACAAGTTCTGAAAAATTTCTCCTGGTGTTTGAGTTACCAGTTATTCTGTTATGCTCTATCATAGCAAAGCTAAAAACAGAGAAACATGTTAATATCCACACTTCAACAATGAAGAGTGACATCCCACCAATAGGAAGCAGAGGCTTCTTTGCAAAACACAGCAGTGTGATCTGAAAGTCACTAATGGAAATAAGGGACTGGCAGGGTCTGTCACAGAACTGGCATGTCACAACACACTGGTCTGTTTCAAGGACCAGGTCAGTGTGACAGACCACAATGGTTTCTGCAATAGCTAATGAGAAAGAGCAGATTAATTTTATTTTGTTTTTAAGAATCAACTGATTATACCATTTTGTTACCCTAGCCATACGCAGAAGTGACACAACATTTCTGGAAAATCTCAGTGATGATATATTTCTGTCTGAGAGCAACCCTATCCTCATGCCTCGAAGCCAAACGCTGTCCCGCACCAGGGGTGCAAATTAAAAACGTAACAGTTTCAGGAGTTCCTGTTGAGCATGGCACAAATTACCTGTAGGAAATGCTGTGATGACCGTCATTGCTCAGTGTATTATGATCAGGACCTTTCCAAGTAACTGAAGCCTTGGGGCGACCACAGACTTTACACCTAAGAACGATGGTCTCTCCTGTCTCACATGTTACCTCACTCAATGGAATTATAAACTCTGGGGGAACTGGAAAAAGAGAATTAATGGCATTAGGTAAACTGAAGCAAATACATTTAATTTCTATTCCTCACACTGTTTTCTATTAGATGAAGTAGTACTTTAGGTTCCCAAGGTATATATATCCCGTGCCCTTGGAGCACATCCATGGTTAGGCCCCTTGCTGGGACTCTACAGGGCTGCTGAATTTTTCTCTACATGAACTTGGACACAACACTACTGCTGTGCCACAGATAACTCTGAAGCCTACCATGGTGAACCAAACACCCAGTTTATGGTAAGTGAGGAAAGTCTACACTGAAAAGGATTTAAGGATGTGCTCAGCTAGGCTATCTTCACATCCAGCCAAGTTTGCAAAAAACACTTCATCCACTGAAGCACTGTAGTGCTTTCCCTTTTCCACAGACTCAAAAACTCAAAACCTTTGTTTCTGTCTATTAAACTAACACCTCCGTTTGGCTCTGACCCCAATGGGCCACCATCTTTATCCTGATCTGCCTCTGCATTGGAGAGGTCCTGAATATTCCCTAGGGTGCAATATTGAAAATAAAGTAGCTCCAACTCCTGGCCTTGTTACTTTGCAAATTCAGCAAGGTCACACTTCCATACAGAACACATCATATGGTCCTTGTGTTTTATGTTGTTTTGAATTTGTGAACAAAGAAGTGTTTCTTGCATCCTAAAAAAAAAGTATGATGTATTTCATTCTACCTTATTTGTAAAGAGCCCATATATATTTTGGTAGAAAGCATTCAGTTCCTGACATAATTCATATCAAGCAAATAATGTTTTAATCAAATTCGTTGACTGAAACTTTTAAAAATTAAAACAACTTACCATCATAAATGTAATTGGGGTTGAGAAGCTGGAAAGGAGAAATTAAAGAATTAATGTCCTGATAATCTTATAATAACTTAAAGAATGGTAGAAAACCAAGCACAGAGATGAATCAAATTAGCTGTACCCACAAAAATCCAAGAAACATTTGAATACCACAATTTCTGAACATTACTCTATTCTTTTTGCGGTATCCTCTTTTTTTTTTTTTTTTTCGTATGATGCTTTCAGGTTCGAAGGTTCTAACTTTCTGTTTTCAGATTTGGCAGAAACTGTCCACTAAAGTCACTGCTGCCTTTGATTCCCTCCTGTGAAGTTCTGACTGAAGCTCCTTTTAAAGAAATCCCAACCCAACTTCTTTTGGAAATGACATCTTTGAACACTTACTTTAACAGAAACCTTGTTGGCAAGTCCTTCTCGGGATTTGCGATAACCATTTTCTAGCTTGCCTTCCCTTTTGCCGTCTTTATCTTTTTTCTCAGATTTCTTCCTTAATCGGAGTGCTGTGTGCCAAGACGTTGACTTCCTGAACACAGAACATGCAACTCTGATCAATTCTGTTCAACTCCCTGTTATGTCCCATATTATCCAGTTGCACATGGAATTGGAAAAGTATGTCAAAATGTTATTTCTATGTATTATAGTACAGTAAAATGAAATGCATTAAGTATTCCATAAGGGATGCCACCCTTGGCTAAAACTGTGAAAAGCTAGTAATGTACTCTGGAGTTCAGTATTCCTTGAAGTCATTGCTCAAATGGTAAACTTTCTATATGAAAATGCAAACTGTCAATCAAACCAAGCAACAAACAGTATGAAACCCATACCAAATGCAGCCTTACAAAAGCTTTACATAAAATTCAAACTGAACTTTGATATAATTTCTTCCATCACAGAGATGAGAGAGTTGTTCCTAGCATACAGTAATTTTAATAGGTTTGTGGCATAAAGCACATATCTAGGAACTCTGAAATCTTGTTTTATTTGAACAAACATTCCCTGTTTTGCTAGACAAAGGTGTCTAGACTGGCAACTCATACTATTAAATAAACAAGTTAAAATAAATGATTTCTGGTTTTAGATAAGGCATTCTTTTCCCAGAAGACTAGGCTATTGAAACTCTTTAATAAAGAATATGTGCTTCTGGGATCTTTTTCACTAGCTTTATTTTGACGGTAGCTAAGGGACCTCTCTAGTACTTGTTCTACTTGTTGTTCATTTATTTCTCCATGATCACATCAACTTTTGGCCTTAAAGGTTCAAAGTCTTCTCTAAATTGGAAGTTTTCTTGCTTCCTCTCCTTCTACACACACCCAGACACTCACTTGATGGTTCCATCAGGGTTGTCAATGATGATTGCACTGGTATGCCCCAAGACATAGCCGGGAATCCAGCCCTCGGCTGCGGGGCACTGATCGGTGGCGGCTCTGAACACCAAAAACATGTTCTGTTGGTTGCTGGCTAGAATCTGCACGACCTCTCCTTGGTAGACATTTATCTCATCCTCCTTCACTGCCGTGTAATCGTGTGTCACCAGCATGGTGGAGATATTGCTACTGCTGCTACTTTCACTCTGCAAGCGTCAATCAGAAGCAGAGAGAGCAGGAGGAAAAAAAAAAGAGAATCAAGTTTAAAACTCATGAAGAAGACAGGCTGTTCTTGGCCGGCTACATTACCTACCTAATCCACTTGGTTTAAACTGTAGTCAAAGAAAAGAGCAATGTTTTCTCTTTTACAGCTGCCTGTGTCTGTTTATCTTGTGCATTAGTCTGATATTTGAACATCTTTATGTAGTGCTGCTGCACAAATTTATACCCAATACACTTACTCAATATAATTTCCATTAACTACGAGTCAGTTTATTAATAAATCTCAACTTGTCTTCCTTTCAAGCTCAGACACTGAACCTTGAATCTTCATTAGGCATCAAAACTATAGTACAAGCATATAAGACAGTTTTTCATGGTCTTTTAAGTTCAGTTTCCAAATCACAGTCATTAGCTCATAATAATTGGAAACTCCAACAATGAAAAATACATGTAGTCTTTCCTAACACTACCTGTCAGAACTCAGACACTGCCCTTGTGCACACAAAACATGACAACTACAAAAGAACAAAACAGGGTTTTGACAGCATCTCTCGAAACCACAAGACTTATCTCTGGTTGCATCTGTATGATCAGGTTTATTATTTTAAATGCAGAGGATGAAGTACATTACTGAAATAAGAAATTATTTATTTGACTGTCAAAATAGACCCACTGTAAGAATCCTTTCTAATTGATCAGTGACTAGCTGAGTGTTTTTACCTGTTTATCATACACTTTCAACTACTGTTCATGATCTTGTTCATTTCCCCAGCAAGCATTTGTGAAAGATAATTATGGCTGAGAAGGTGTACATTCAAAATCACATCACTTGCAGAACAAAAAGCCTACTCCTGACAACGAACCTATTGGAAATTATTTTTTAAAAGTAAGGCTTACTTTGTCAATTTGCATCTATTCCTCATATGAGGTTTAATAAATGGAAGTGTGAAAACTATTATCAGATTACACAATCTACTCTGTCAGTAATTATTTCTTTCTTGAAACAAGTTAAAACCAAGGTGAATGGCCTACTAATGATGTGGCACAAAGTGTGTGTGTGCCTCTGTTTTGTCTCTGTTCTTACTTCAAATTGTTTTAGGTCACTCAGTGCCAGTGAGGGCTCACTGTGGCTCAGTAGGAGCTCAGCTGAAAGAAGGAAATGAGTACCCATGTCCTGGGTACTCCTACTGCTTATAGAGCAGAACCCCATTAGTACCATCATGTGCTAGTAGCCAGTGGAAAACTTGGCACACAGGATTAAAACAGCATCATTTTTTTCCCCCTCAAACTGTGAAATATTTCTCAAATATTGAGGAGATGCAGAGGGGTTCAGTTAACAGCATGGTGCACTGGGAGCCCTGAACACTCTGTTCCCTTGCAATCTGCTAAAGGCGTTGAACAAGTCACTCCATCCCTCTGTGCCTGTGCTTCCCTGAGGACTCTGGCTGAGAAACCAAGACATTTGGAATGGAACACTCTCAGATTACTAATTTCATAGCACGTATAACACCCTGATGCTTGGAGTGCCAGTGGCTCTGTACATTTTATTCTAGCTGGATTGTTATATTCAAATGAGTGACTCAAATCTTCTTTTTTGCCATATTAGAATGATGAAGCATATGCTACCTCAGTGAGAAAGATCTCATTGTGGATTTTAACTCTACTAAAGGATATTTACATTAGTTTAAGATGCTGTCTTTCCAGTGGGAGAACTAGTTTTTTCTCATTTAGAGGATGGCCTGCATGGCCTTTTGTATTATTAAGACCTTTCTATGATTCAGGCAAACTGGGAACAGCTGAATCAAAGAAATTAAGTCTCATGTTCGGTCATTATTTAAATTAGGATGACAACTTGCTACATTCTTTTACCTAGATGAAAAACTACTCTATTCAAAAAAGCAGCTTTTGTTGACTCGTCCTGTTAGACTTACAGGGAAAGATGAAGGAAAGTTGCAATATCAACCTGAGCCTCAAACCTTACCCCACACACTATTCCTGAACACGTTGTTTCTTAGGATGCAGCAAAATTTGTGTAACTGCAAGACTGACCTTTCTATAACATAATGTTTATTTCTGACATTTAAGTCTTGAAGGATCATAATAAACTCTGAATATTTCTTATGTTCAATGGGGACAGTTAAATCTGTTAAATAAACAACTGTCTGGTAACTACTAAGTGACAAATGTTCCTGAGAATGTGTTTATACCAGAATTCATTCTCACCACGGGGAGATAGCCTTTCCTTTTGCCTTCCAAGGAAGTAATTATTCTTGCACAGTAATGTTTTCTTACTGAAAGTACTTCTGGCCGTCACTGACCTCAACTATGGGATTAGAGGAGGATCTACAAACAAAATATATAAAGTTCCTCCCATATTCCTCAACTAGCAAAACTTACTCTTTTTCTTCTTAGAAGTAATTTTTCCTTAAGTAATCAACCATAGCCATATGTGCATGTGTATATACATACAAAAATAGTTAAATTAAAATAAACCTTCACAACCCCTTTTCTCCAACTTGCTCACTGTGGTGTGGAATCCTGATGATTGGTCTAGAAATGAGGTTATAAATGAGGACTTATGGCCCATCTCAATTACCAAATAAAAGAGTTATATAGCTGTAAACATAGAGCTGTGAAGCAGAACACATGCATTCCAACATTATGTTTTACAGTGAGATAAAAACAAGCAATTGTGTCTTTGCTGAGATAGTATCAAAATCCAAATGTTTTGGAAACTCAGTGCCATCCCATCTTTCTCCTCTTTTTTTTTATGCAGCAACCTGAATTAGTATTATGCAAGTACCACCATCTTAATTCATATACTATGCAGTAAATGCAAAATATTCAAATTACCCCAGATTTTGCATTACATTACATCACATCACATTTTGCTAGACTGAAGATAAAGACAAGACAGCTAAACCAAATAAAAAGCTGAAGGAAGATCAGGATAAAATTACAAAACATGCAAAGCATTAATTTTTTTTCTTCTGAAGCTATTATAAAAGTAAGTATAAGAACTAAGAAGTCAAGAAAGCTTTGTATGTTAAACAGTTCTATAAAGAAACACATGCATTTAAAAAAGGTCCAGCAAGTTAGGTGATTTGCAAAACTGGCATTGTATACCATTTGTGAGAGAGTAGAAAAACAAACATTCATGAACACAATGCTTAGTGAGAGAAAAATCAAATGTGAGTTTAAAAAGAAAGGCACCATAACCTGCCTACTGCCTCCATGGCAAATGCCTCAACATTTCTGCTTTATATTTGCACGTGCCCCAGTGCTGGCTGTGTTGCTTTCCTGGTGGATGTTATTAGGGATAACGTAGATTCTGTTGACAGCCTGGATTTCTGCACAAACACACCAAGTGCACACTAAGAGGCTGAATCTCCAGAAAACCGAAACCAGTTCTTCTTGCAAAGGAGAAAAGACAAGTGGAGCGGGTAATCGTTTCGGTTGTAGTAGAAGTAGGATTATTGTCGCTAGGTTTTGTTGGCCTATTTTGAGTGGATTGCAGAAAGCTTCCTTGATCAAACACAGGATTTAAAAAGAGATTGATGTATAACAACTAAGGCTGAAAGGAGAGTGGGGGGGAAAAATACATTAATAAAAAAATAAAACTCAAGCAGCCCAAGGAACGTAGATATCTCCACGAAGTTAAAACTCAACAGGATAATGGTGGGAAATCTGTGTGTGAAAGGGAAAAAAGCCCCAAGGCAATCTGCCAAAATCCTTAAGTCAGATTTAAGTGCTGGCACAATGCATACCCCAAGGTGCTCTGGCTGCCACGCTTCAGCATGTTAATAATGTGCCTTCAAATTAGAGACGAAAAAAGCAAGGACAGGAAGTTAGTAGGTATCAGCCTAGTGATAGATGTTTTCAGCAGAGGCAGAAATCGCATCTAATGTTAGCAGCTGCTTTTGTGTCTGTATACATAGCCATGTTTGCATATATACACACACACAGGTAGACACTCTTGGATTTTTAATGCGCAGAAGATACCGGAACAGTTGATTATTTCAGAGCAGTGCAGCACCGGAGAGCCAGAAGTTAGTACGGAGAATGATGGCAACGCACAGAAAGGGAGCATGGAAGGTTTTAGAAGAGCTCGCAGGACAGAGGTGCTCCGCTCTTACCCCATTACTCTGGGTGGAGTGAACTGACTGCTCGCTGGTCGAGGAGCATGTGCTCATGCGGTCTGTGTCCTTGCTGTGTGAAGAGTGGCGGTGGACCTGCCGCTGGAGGGAGTCACTGTCCCCAGGGAAAGTGAAGGAGCCAGGGCGGCTGGCAGGGGATGCTGGGATGGAGCTCCAAAAGGAGCCCTTCTGCAGGGGGCTGCTGGGTGGAAAGGTTTCCTTGCCAAAAGGAGAAGGGAAAGTCGTGGACAGAGGAGAGTTCATTGGAGATATGGCTCCTGGCCTTGGCTTCCCAAGCGTCAGTGATCCTATGCTGTTTCTTGTTCGACTGTCCTCTGAGATTCCACGTGAGTCTTTCTGGGCTCCATCAGCTGAGCCAGAAATGTTTCCTGCTGTCTTCCTGGGACTTTCAATAACTTTCATCTTGGGAATCTGTTCAGCTTCTCTCTGAGGACCATCCGGCTCTGCACTGGGAGGGTGCCTGTCTGGCTGGCTCAGGCCAGTTTCTAAAGAGGTGTTGTAGTGTGGCAGGGAGTGATTGTGAATGGACATACCTGACATCTTGTCTGCCTCTGCTTGGGCCGAGGCTGCAGAGGAGACCAGGACTGGGGAATGGTGTCTGACAGGCTGGGGGATCCGGGATGGCCGGCTACGGCTGGAGCTGGGGATGCCACTACAGCTGCTGGGGCCACCGCTGTTACCGCTGCTGCTCCCGCCGCCGCCTCCACCACTGCTGTGGTTCCTCTGGTACTCGATCGGGGACGTCAAGGCTGCAGCGGGGGCGAGGGGGAGGCGGTCAGGGGAAAGGGGGCAGGAAAGGGAACAGGAACAGTTTAAAACAGACATGTCTACTGGCAAAAAGGGGAGTGCTGTTCAAATAAATTTCCTTACCAGTGGAAAGATGCCACATACTTCAAGTCACTTTTCTGTATCTAACCTTCGTGACCTGCTGTATCTACTGTATTAAAGATTAAACATCTGAAACTAAGATGATGTTTTCCCCTAGGATCACACTGTCAGCCAGCAGCCAAGTTGGGAAAAAACAGGTGTCACTCCACATTCTCTGCTTGTTATTACTCATAACAACTGTTTAAAAAATCTAGGTTGGGACAACAACTGATAGACAGAAAAACAGAGCAAGAACCTTTTAGTGTCACAGAGGCTGATACCACCTTCTACTTTTCTCCTGCAGAATCTGAATGTTGGTACCAGAGTAAGATGCAACAACAATGGCCACCAAAATAATAGAAGCAAAACATATTCTGAATAGATGGCTAAAATTCCACTTGGGTTTAGCCTTTAAAGGCTTGCAGTTGCTTAAAAGGGGTACACAAGCTCTCAACGGATGGCACCTATCTTGAGTCACTCCTACAAAACATTTGGAAAATTTCACCAAGAGAACACCATGTAAATTCAGACTACCACTCTTATAATAAATGCAAGCATCTGTTCTGAAGCAGAAATGCGGCACATATCACCCAACTGTTCTGTATTAGCTCAGGAGAAAGGCAACTTGCAAAACATTTCAAAGCCAAGAAAAAAGAGATGAGAGAAAAGTCATCCAATTACGAACTTTCAGTAAAAGAAAATAATTTACCATTTAAAAAGTTGCGCTGGTTTTCCAAAATTTGGTTAATTTCATGGATCCATAACTGGCGGACTCCGGGACTGGCAGAATGCAAAATAAAGGTCTCCGTGACATCGCCCGCTCTTGATGTTAGTGCAAATTTACATGGATCGCTGTCCACATTTTCCTCCAGAGAAATCTAACTCACCTTCACGAAAAAAAAAACAAAAAACCATGTATTTTATGGGAAACATATCTTTAAAATGTCTTTCTTATGAGTGTAGAGTCAGATCTTCAAATGATAACCACGCATTCCTGTAGTAAGATAATACCATGAAATGAAGTTATTTAATTCCAGTAAACTAAGAATTAGTGTACAGCTAACTGACACACTGTGCCTGAACAATCTCCAGCAGGACAGCATGGTCCAATGTTCTCCATCCCTCACTTTTCTTTATATATATAAATACATATATATATATATATATATATATATAATAGCTCTTCAGCCAGGGCTATAAACATAAACAGGTTCAGGTCGCAGGCAGAGGAGCAAGGTGAATTAGGGGAAGCAGGGTCCACCCAAAACACTTCATGAGGGCTGCTGAGTTCTAGTATCATCAGGTTTTTTCAGGAAAATCTTGAAGTGGGGAAACACTTATTTTGTTTGAGGAATATCTAAGAAGGTCACACTACTTACAAATATTATCTATATATTTGGGTATCAGAAAGGATACAAAAAGAGTTATTATCTCTACTTGCAATGACTTTGCAATGTGGTGTACATACAGCACAGTGCTGAAAATTAAACTCTGTGAATACCTGTTCAGTACTTTGTTCAGAAGTCCTGCTTTGATATGCTTCATGCAGAAGGCATCAGAGTACTGGGATCCAAAGATCTCCACTTAACACTGAAGTGAGAACCAATTTGGTAGGAAGTAATTTCAGGAAATGACTGAGACCTCATTGTGCTCTATGGCTGCACACCTAGCTGTCACTCGTGACTGCCCACAGAATGAGAAATGTTACCTTAGCAGAGTTTGTGCAGGGGACACAAAAGACTCACACACAACAGTTACCTTGATACTGTTTTTAAACAAGAATCCGGGCATGGAGAAACCTTTCTTTTTATCTAGCAGCTCACTGAAAATTACAATCTGCTCAAACAGGAAGACCCGTCTTTCCTTGCAGCGTGGCAGAAGTCCTGCATCCTGGTCTGTAACCAAGAATGTGTCCTGGAGCAGGAGCTTACCCTGGGCTACAATTTTACCCTAAACAGAGAGGCAAGAAAAAACACATTTAGTGAAGTTCTTTGCTTCTTTCCTCAATCAGCCTTTTTGAGCACATGTTCATGACAAATAGCTTTGTGTATTTCCCACCTTCCAACTGTTACTGACCACTATATATTCACTTCTCCTCCTATACACAAGATATTATTGTGCTCTTTCTCAAAAAAACTCCAGCATCAAAAAGAAAAAAGAACCACACACACACAAAAAAAACCCCACCCAAACCAAACCAAACCAAAACCAACCAACCAACAAACCCCCAAACCAACCAAAACCCCAAAAATCCACTCCACCCTTCTCAATTCATCCTGCATTTTGAGGCTTGGAACACTAAGGCTTTCATTTCTCTATTCTGAATAACTCCAACAATTACTCATATAATCTTCCAGGGTGCTGAGTAGGGGCAGATTTTGAGTTCATGTCTGCATCACAGAATACAAAATATTTTGCAAGTAGAACATGTGACTGTGGCCTGACTGATGCATCCTGCTTCAGTAGCTAATTTCTCTCTTCTAGAGTTAACAAAACAAGGAGAGCTACAGTTGCCTCAAGTACATGATGGACCTTAGTGTCTCCTCCTTTGTCTACACTACTGAAGTCAGGTCTGGTCACCTGCTGATAACTGGTTATTTCACTGTGTTGCAACCCTTTAGCCAACAAGGGAACTGTAGTAAGAAAGCCCTTTCTTGATTTTGCAGAAGGGCTTTACCTAGTGTGACTGATACACCAGGTAATGTTTCCCAGGAAAAAGTCCTTGGCAGGGCTAAGATTTGATTTTTCATTGACTGCTTTTTGCACCAGCTAACCATACAGTGAAGAAGCACTGTACACATTTCTCCCCACAATATTAATGATTAATTTCTAGAGAACCTGACAAAATCTCTAAGAAAAACTCCAGCCAACTTACATCAAATCCTTGCAGGCGGCCAACATTCATCATGTCATTACACCGTTTTGGTACTATACACATGACCTCTACAGCTTTCTGTTCAAGACAAATAAAAAGTCAAAGCTTTATTTTCCAAATGAGTTAGCAGGATAAAATTTTGTTTCATTTAACATGGTTGCTTTAGAACAGAAATGCAAGAAGTAAACACTTATAATCACTTTCTCAGGAAGACTAGAAAATGAAAGTGACTCTGCCAGAACAAAAGAAGTTCTGAGTTAAAAGAATTCCTATCACTAAGAGAAAATGTCTCAAGTACCTCTAGTTCTGTTGTGTCAAGATTAGCTTTTTTAGAATACTTGAGGAAGTCCTGAAAAAGAAAAAAAAATCAAGTAATATTTCTTTTCTCATTAATCATCAACAAGAAATCTTAGAAAATCTGAATTTGATATTCTCTGTCAAAATATGACTGCAGAAGATAACCATTTGGATTTAACTCATACAAAAAACATATGCTAAGGCAATGACCTCTGTGCTACACAGCATTGCTCTTCAGTAAACACTTATGTCATACTAAAATGATTGCAGGTGTAGCTGGAAAAGCTGTGATGAGTCCCAACAACTTGTATCATGTTTACATCTGAAAACAGTTGAGCGTTCCTTCTCCCATTCCTATGACACTGGAACAAACTTTAAACATTTCCATGGCCTAAACATTTGGTCTTTAACTGTTAAAAGAAAAAACAAATTTCTGCCCAAGCCATCTACTGCAATTTTTATAACTACCTGAATGTGCTCAGAAAATAATCACATGACATTGCTTACAAATCTGGGTTCTGTTAGAGAAAGGGGTGGGAAAACATCAGCATTAAAAATTTTCTTAAAAAAGAAAACCTATCTGTTAACACATCTATAACATATCTATTAACACACTCATCTCAACATCACTTTACCTTTAGTAACAGCTGGTATTTCATAATTCTCTGCACAGGTTTTATTAGCAAGTCTGTGAGCTGAAGTCTGTGGCCCAGGCGTTGCTTTAGATCCTGAAAGTTGTAAAACAAACATTTTTGTTTGTTCAGTTAGAAAGACCTTTGTTTTGTTGAGTTAGAAACACAGCATATGTATCAGTATATGGAGATAAATATATATATTAAAAAACAAGGATATATCAGTATTAATTGTTATCACATCAGAAATTGGCGAAAGTTAGAAAATAATCTAATTTCAGTTAGCAAAAGCTGGAGTCCTTCACCTAATCACTATTGCTCCCAAGGTGTTCCCTTCTGCAAGCATCTTTCACCTCTTTCTTGACAAGGCTTCAGAGTGAACTGCAATTTTTCAGTCACAGGCTGTATACAGCCCATTTTCAACACTGATCTCTGCTTATCCAGAATTGCTATTTATTGCTATATAAAATGCACTGGTAACTGCCTGGGCTAAGGCTACTAAGGATAAGACCCTACAGATTAATTAATTATCTTATACCTAACCTTTAGTTTTCATCTCTAGGAGTCTGTATCAGATTTGAGAAATCAGAACAGAAATGGCAAGAAATTGCAATTTAAAACATTAGCAACAATATCTGCTGCATTTTTTGTTTTTTTTCTGGTTTGACCAACAGATTTAATAATCCTTCACCTCACGTATCCCCTCTCATGAACTTACCTCAAAAAACGTATCAATGTATTCTGAGACAATGTGCTCAGACTTTGGTTTGTTTTGGCAGTAAACTATGTACATGTGCAACCTCCTCTCCTAGAGGAACAAAGACACAAAATGATACATCATTATCAAGAAAAACACATGCCAGATTAAAATGGAGTATTATTTTAAGAAGTATGGCAGTTCATGTGTATGCACTTAAAAAGACCCCTTAAAGGAAAAGAAGCAGTTACATATGCAGAAAATACATACCTGAAAACACATTTATTTGGGAACATCGTTATAATTTTAGAAAGGCAACACAAGTGAAAAAAATTCCCACAGCTATAAATCCTCCTGAATGACAAGTGTTCAGAGATGATAACTCAGCAGGTCCCACAATAAAGTTAAGCATGAAAATAGTTCTATTTTTCTTTCACCAAGAGCCATGGAAGGTTTGACAAGATGACCCCACAGTGATCCCTTCCAACCTTACCCATTCCATCATTCTGTAATGGAGCCTTTGAAAGGTAGTATTTTTTATTCTATTTCAATAACGTGACTATTATTGAAATGTATTAGAATAATTACCTCCTCCTGTTTACATGTACAGAACAGTTAGGAGAAAACTTTCATGTCTTTTATTTATTATTGGCTGTCCTGCTGGAGTCTGGACAGGGATGTAGGTGATGAAGCCTGGAAATGGAGGCACTGGCATTTTTTAACTCTGATCCTTTATTTTGTGCATGTGCTTTTAACATCAAAGCAACAGAAAAAGAGAGAGGAAATAACTTCTGCCTTTAAGATTTATTCTTCATTACTGACATTGCTGTTTAAGAAATACAGACATACCTACTCCAAAATCTTTCCTATCATTTTGCTAGGATTTGTTTGGGGTTAGAGGCTTTGCTTCCCAGAGACTTACGAGTACTGACCAGAGAAGACAAATGGTAAGAAAGAAATGAAAAAATAAGATGGAGATTGGAAAGGACACAGGACACAGATTAAGAACAGGAACTGAATCATTGTGTTCTGTCTGATAGGGTTTTGCTAGAGGATGCTGTAATGGCATCACAGCTTGCCTTTCCATCTGGAGTGGTAAAGGTGCCTTTTAAAGACAACTCAATTACAAATAATACCAGGAGAAAGTAAAACAGCAATCAGAAACAGGGAGAGCTACTTCCTACAGGTTTCCCACTTTACCATGGACAAATTCTCAGAAGGGGAAAGGATACAGAACTAGAACACACTCAGACTGGAACAAGAATGAGCCTCTTTCCTATTTTTATATCTTATATTCCATGCTATTGCACGGATACCTGGAATTAGAAGGCAGGTGTCATATGAAATGATGATTCCCTTGCACCGAAGTGTAACTTTGGTGGAGAATAGAGAAATGGGGCCCACATTCATGTTCCCTCTCAGGGAGGTACAGGAAGGTACTGGGGACAAAGACTAGCACATTTACTTCTTCTATTTATAAGCTCTTAAAAGTTATCTCTCCACCTCTTACCGGTGACGAACATTGTACAGCACTTTCTTAATTGTGCTGTGCTTAACAGTCACTCATGTTGGCCAGTAGCAGCAATAGAGTTTGCCAAAAAAGACATTTGTACTTACATGTTTAACAAACAGGGATCCCAGCTTTTCTGGATCTTCAAGGCACTTCTCCAACTCTCCTAAAAAGAAGCTGAACATAAACAGAATAAACAATTTTTTTCTGACATCACACATTATAGAAACAGGTAATTGCACGGCAAAGTGGTCTTACTGCAAGGCAAGACACTTTTGTGTCCCCTATCAGCAGCATTAGATATTAATGTATGTCCAAACTGACAATGGTAACAGTGTAACATTTCAACATAGCTTTTTAAAAGGACATGCTGAATCCATGCCAAGATGAAAAAAACCACCTGGCATTCACTAATAAAATGATTAAATTTCATTTATATTGATTGAAAGCTTTGCCCTTCCTAATCTGAATGCTTGAGATGCTAATATTGTCTTGCTAACCACACCTAACAAATTCTTAAGGCTGTATTGTTAGAGAGAAAGCAACGCACAAAGTTCTGTCAATATAAGAGATCCTCAGTTGAAGTACTTGCTATATATATATAAATATATATATACACAGGCATCCCTCTTTAAAGTAAATCTTCACACTAACATTTGTAAGCTGAAGTTACATTTTCTACAACTCACAGCACAAAATCAACTGCATTTGCCTTGTATCTGAGTATCTGAGGAAATAATTCCTGAAAGCCAATCTAATATTTTTTAGGTACAATACGTACTCTCTGTGCCAGTCATAAATCTGGTGAATGTTTCCAAATACAATCTTGTCTTTGCCTTTCATATCATCAGGTACACCATCTTCCTTCATAAGTGCCATATAACCCTGCAACAGTCCAAGTGAATTCACTGTGAACATTCTTACTTTAAAAAAAGAGAGTTGTCTTCTAGTCCCCCTTTTCCCAGAAGATGTCCAATGGCAACAACTGCTTGGGACACAAAGCCAAACCAGAAAACTGTTCTATAACACAGCACAACATAAAGCACAGATACAAAGTATCACAAATTGAGGTGAGGCTGTCTACACAACAGTGCTAGAAAAATTAATTCACTCTAATTTAGCCTGTGTGAACGGGCTCGGAGCAAGAAGGAAACTTCCACAGCCTTTCCCCTTACTGCCTGAAATGTCAGAGCCACAGAAGTGGCTTCTGTGCTGCTTTGCTCTGTGTCTCTTATTTCACTCACACTAACCCCACACCAAAGTGCACTGAGGAGGAAACTGCCCATGGGACTGCACGCCATGGACTACTGCTTGCAGTATGAGCAAACCAAACACAAAAAAAATTAAAAATCAATTCTGTTAGCAAGCATTCTCGCTGCAATAAAGTTCCTCTTACATTCTCCCACAGTCCCATCTTAGTTTTGGTATTTACACAGCTGTCTCACTGAGCAGTTCTACCATATAGTTAAATTGGGAATGTTTTTGAATTAATGTAACTCTATTCCTTTTTTGCCCTCAGTAGTTCTATTCCTAAATAGCCAGGTCTGGTTTTGGTTTGCCAAGTGTATGTTTTGATGTCCAGCATCTTCACCAGAAATTATGTTATTATTTACAAAAACACATCTATTCAGACTCCTAATGCATCCTTGAAACACTGTAAAAACACTATCACAATACTGATCTTTCTTTCCCTCCCTGCCTCCAAAACAGAGTTTAAGAATTGAACTTTATTAGGCTAAAATTCACTGTCATGCTCATTCCTTCTACTCTTCCAAATGCCATTTGCTGGTAGCTGAAGACTGAGGGGAGATATGTGACGTTATCTCATTTTACAGCTGGGGAAGATAGGAAGTTTAAGGGAAGCCTAGTGGTAGGAGAGGAAGGAGGACTTGCAAATCTTGGATAGCTGCTCTGTATGCTGAGGTACAACTTTTTTTTTTTTTTTAAATTTAGATGTGCTAAATAAACCCACTATCTACTAGGATAGCATTAGGCCAGATGTAGGGATTAAAAAAAAAAAAAAGACAAAGAACGACACTCCTCAAAAGAACAAGGTGAACACAATAACAGGAAAAAGGAGTAAAATGTGATGTAGCATTTTTATACATTAAAAGCTTACAGAAGGGAAAACTCAGAATGTAAACTTTCACATTTTTAGATTCTTCCTGTGTATCATTTTGAAAAACATAGTGAGGTTCAAGCCACAAAGGTGGTTAGTACCACATTTAAAAAAAAAAAAAAGAAATCAAGAGAATGAAAAACATCATACCTCAACTACATAGCCCAGATCTCGCACATAATCTCGCTCTGTCTCCACTAATTCCTGTAAGACATAGCTACAGTGGAAGGAAAAAGGTGAACAAATATTAAAAAATGAAACAGATTTTTCAAGAGGATTAATGGCATACAACTTTTTTGACATTTGCAGTCACGTATGTTTGATATACAGAACTGAAATGGAAGAATTAATGTACATTGGTTCTTAGCAAGATACTGCTTCAACTTTGAAACTGGACAAGGCTTGCTTCTGTTTATCTAAAGTCTGATGTTTTCTTAACCATGACATGAAAATTAAACATTTAACTATTGTTTAAAATAAAATGCTATTATTTTAAACAATAGTTAAAATATAAAATATTATATATTATATAAAATAGCTATTATAGCCATGGTCTCTTAGCTATACGGACAGTTATTTCCACACATAAGTTTAAAAAATTTGAAACCAGGCATGTTTTTATTCTACCATGGTAACAGTTTACTACTACATAGAGAAATTAAGCCTGGATTGGATTAGAATGAAGGGAATGACCTTTTTTTCAAGCCTAATAGACCTTTGGACATTTAAAGATTAGCATCTTCCCAAATAAATGACAGTGACATGCAGCACAAGTCAAACACAGGTATGACTAGAATTAAAAATCACAGACTGAATGTCACAGAGAAATGTGACCACATGCTTGACATCTAATACAAGTCCTCCCATTTTGAGATTTACAGATTCTGCTGCCAGTTCAAAATAAGCTTGTAAGAAAAAAAAAAAAAAAAAGGAAAATTGTAAAAAACTGGTCTTACTGTCGTCTTTTTAAGGAGCTGGATTTCCTTTCCTCCATCTCATCTATGGGTGACGAGGAGGATAGAAGGGAATTATCTGAAGGGTTGAAGGACGGACTGCTGCTGTCACCTTGATCTACCAACAAGGAACTTGGACGGTCCTCCAGAGCCTGAGAAGGTATTCGAGACAGTCAGGAACAATGGTTTGTTTCTCCTTTATTCACATTCACAGAAACAATACAAGCTGCTGTATAGCAATCTATGGGAGATCAATTACTTTTATGTATCTTGGCAAAGCAAGTCACAAGCCTCCAGGAAACCAGGCAACAACATGGCTTTCCATGACAACTGAGCCTTTGAGGCCCATTTGAGAAGCACATCTGAGATGACAGTCTTCCCTTCACAGGAAAATAAAGGAGCTGAACTGGTTTGAACAGCAATGGCTAAAAGGTGGACTCTCCTGCTCAGGACGCAAGTACTTCTATGGTGGGAGCAGCACAAATGTGTCCTCGCGGCCAGGGATTAAATTATATTTGTCATATTTGACTTCTGGCATATACAAGTTACTTTCAACAATAAATGGGACATCTTTAAAGGAGATTTTTATGATGTTACATTTTTAATTAAAGAGAAGTGGCGTTCTCTGTCAGATGTTTTGGTTATCTTAATAAAAAGCCAAAGTAGCATCTCAGTGAAGAAAATAATGACTTCTACACTGCCAATGTTGTTTATGAGCTTGTTCAGATCCTAGAAAAAAAGTCCCTGTATCCTCTGCTAGATACACAATCTCCCTTGCATGGACTCCACAGGCTTCTGTTTGTATAAAAGATGAAAAAGCAATAGGAGGAAATAATACTAATATCTTCTATGAAGTATTTGTTGGATTTCTCTAATTCAAGCCCATCATCTTGGATCAAGCTACATCTATGTTTCACATTTTCCTTGCATGTGATACAGCCTTATTGCAAGACACATTTACTTCACCAGGGTGGGCTTCAGCTATAATCTATTTTCTTTCCTCACAAAAAGTAAAAACCAATAATGATATGACTAGCCCAAAACCCAGGGGAAGCTGAACCTTGGCTAAAACTGTGAAATGAGAACATCTCCCACAAGGACTTTATGCATGGATCATTAAGTTATATCCACTGCTAGGCAGCCTGAAAGACACATGGACTACCAAACTTTCCTTTTACAAAAGTCTGTTGAATTTTCCCACAGATTACTTTGTATTCACCCTACTGCTGTAAGAGAAGTAAAAAGCAAAGTTAATACCCAAGAGAGTACAGTAATTATTTATGCAATAATGTAATTTACTCTGAATGAGAGAGCAGAAAAGAGAATTTCTAGTTCTGAAAGTCAAAGCTGCTTCAATTTAGAGTGAACCTAGAAAATATCAACCTCTGATAACACAGGGCTTCCATGCTGCAATTCTTTGCATTTTTCACAAAGGCACTTCCTATTGAGCCCAAGAGGGGCTATGCTGCAAAAACTGTATTTAAAGGTTTTGAGGAAATCCAGAATTGCTGAGGGACCTCCTGAGACTATATAGTCCAATCTCAAATAGAATCAGCCAAAGAAGTTTTTCCCAAACTGGGTCAAGCTGGATTTTGAATATAAAGGCCTTCCTGGAATTAAGCATATAATGAGAATCTTCAGAAACATGAAAACTTTAAAACATGTCAATGACATGTTTTAAAGTTTTAGTCTAAGACCCTGGGTCTTTGCATTCATTTTATTAACAGGACATTTTCTTTTGACTAACAGGACATACTCAGTAAATTTTCCACCATCTCCTCTCTTCCTCGTATTTATTGCTTTTTTTCACCTCTACAGTGCCATTTACCTATTCAGCAAATGCTTTTTTACAAAAGAGTGCGTACAAAATGACCCCATACATCAATCTACAAAGTGACTTCTGAAACAGACAGCAAATTTTACAAGTCAATGTAAAACATGCAGGTTTTCTTTGGATAGCAAGCTAGGACTTGAAGACACAAGCTCTTTAGACAGGTGCATCTGCTGGTCAGTCTCACCATTTTACTTTTGACGAGCTCTTCAATGGCACTGACGAGTTCTGCAGCACTGGGCGTCTCAGAGCTTGTTGGCCGCACCAACAGTCGAGAAGATGTCTGTGCAAGGACACAAAGGAAGGAGAACCCCAGAGTTAGCCCAGTTCTTGCTTAATGATCAAGTGACTTCCTTCACTTCTCTGTCAGACAAAGGTACCTGACATGTACTGTCAGTGTCATATAACACTAAGATCATCCCTTCCAACCTGAGCAGCTGGAGTTGGAAGTTTCAAGTAAACCCCATAGAAGTTAAATGCTGGGATAAAAATTCCTGTTCCTACATGCAATAGAAGTCGAGGAAATATAATTGCTGAAAACTCCTTGCAAATAGCTATGAAAATTGCCTGAGCTGACCCAATGGACAACAGTTTGTTAACCTATTTTATTGCTGCTTAAACAAAGCAACAGCTGAAGAACACTAAGAGAAATCAAGAAGACTTGAAATAAAGGAGGAAGCATTATTATGTTAAGAAAATATATACCAATAACTCAGGGGCATTTACTTTTCTAAAAGAGCTGGAGTATATTGCCCAGATTCAGATGGGAAATTGAGCTCACCATTCCTTGTGCCATCCATTTTTCCCAATGGTATGTGTAGAGCACAGAAGATCTCTGGCCTCATAAGCTATAAAATGCCAGTTTATAGATACAACTGAAGGTAAAAGGTGTTCACAGTAAAGGATTCTGGGAGAAGGCCATTAAATTCAGCCTCAGTAATTTGCAAACAGACTTGTTTGCACATTACATTTATCATTTAGTAACTGGAAAGTGGAAACAGGGTGTAATATGAACTGTACTTCATATTACAAACAGCACAGTGAGCATCATGCAGCACAGGGCAAGCTGTCCTGCAAACGTTTCCAACAAACCAGACAAAGAAGCGGCACAAATAATGACTCAACACAAGAGGTTCTGCTCAAACCAAGCATGGGTGTAGCAAGACTCCTTGTAAGTAAACACCAAAAAAAAAAAAAAAAAAAAAAGAATACACAGATTTTAGGTAGTTTGCCTCGTATTTGCCTTATTTGGAAAGGAAAGCAGGGGCTGGGTAAGCAAAGGAAATACAGATAACTTTAAACGGAAAGATACGGGAACTGAGCCAAAGCAGAGACAGAACACAAGTCAACATAATGCTGCATCAGAATTTACAAAAAGAGAAAACAAAAAGCAAAAATAATTAGTTTCATATTAATACAGCTGATCTTGAAACTTTTAATAGTGCTTATCCAAAAATTAAATGCAAACAACTTTTAAACTGCCACCAAATGCAAATCCATGACGTGCGCAATGATTCTGCTGAATGAAAGAATGCATATAGTGTGCAGATGAGCTCTTAGGGGAGAAAATGGTTGTGTTATTTAGTGCTATTAGACGAATCAGCATGGCCTAACACAGGATGTTTGCATGCACACCAAGAACTGAGCAATCCCACAAGCTGGCCTGTCATTTAGGCAATTTACATGCTCCTGAGATCTGACTGTTGACCAGGTTTTCCACAGCTTGTGCCTGCATGTGGGTTTCCACTTTGGATGCAGAGTTCAGCTTAGTCTTAAAAAACACTGTCAGTGTTGAAATCAGGTTCTGGTTATGGTCTCTTTTATTGCTGTGTTGTGGTATGTGAGATGTGAGGTAAAACTTCAGAACTGTGATTTCCAGTGCCTGTGGTTATAGCACCTATAATCTGAAAAAGAAGGAGCTGCATAGATAAAACTTCTTGCTGACTTTCCTGATGATGCACTCTGGGAACAGAACACATCCCTTGCACAGAAAAGAAGGAAAAGCTGGAGGGAGCAACTGAGCTCAAGTACATATGAGATGCTGCTAAGGGCCCACAGCAGGCTGGGAAGGGAAGGAGAAACCCAGCAAACAGGGAGCTTCCAGCAATGAGCAGGAGCTCTGGAGAGGAAGAAATGCTTGCAGGGAGGCAGAGATGATTGCCAAGTTTCTGAGGTCACAGAAAGGAGGAGACATTCCTTGAGATCCGGAATAGCTGAGCAACCCAAGAAACCACCCAGCATGGCAGGAATGTGAAGAAGGACTCCACCCAGAAGGCAGACAACTGGGAACTTGTTTGCAAGCCTTTTATTGATCAGTAACTCTACAAGAGAGCCAAATACCTTCTCCTGGGTAAAGTTTTGCTCTGGCTTCTCACTTCTGTGTTCCAATAAAGCATTTACTTTAGGTGATAGAAGCTGGTGGTGTGTGGACTGCAGGGAGGCACACACAACCTCCCAGGATGCCCCATGAGGGGACCTTTTGCCTCCCACCATGAAGGATAAATATTGCATAATAACAACACATTGCAGAAGAATCACTGCTTACACGCTTTGAAAAATTATGGTATAATATTAACTTTACCAAGTATTAACTTCTCTGAAGTCTCCTCTAAATGTAGTTTCACCTACTTTAAAGACTGTCCCACCATGCATTTACTGATGTGGGTGCATGTTAACCTTTTAAGAAGTTGTGCTGGTTTTGGCTGGGGTAGACTTAATTTTCTTCACAGTGGCTGGTATGGGGCAGCATTTTGGATTTATGCTAAAAAAAGTGCTGATAACATGGAGATGTTTTTGTTATTGCTGAGCAGGGCTCACACAGAGCCAAGGCCTTTCTTGCTTTTTTGTACTGCCCTGTTGGTGAGGAAGCTGGGGGTGCTTGGGAGGAGACACCAAGGGGTCTCACCAGGACAGGTGACCCCAGCTGAACAAAGGGACATTCCAGACTATGTGACATCATGCTCAGTATAAAGTGGAAGGAAGGAGGAGGAAGGGGGGGACATTTGGAGTGACAGCATTTGTCTTCCCAAGTCACCATTATACCTGATGGGGGCCTGCTCTCCTGGAGATAGCTGAACACCTGCCTGCCCATGGGAAGCAGTGAACTAATTCCTTGTCTAGCTTTGCTTGTGTGCATGGCTTTTGCTTAATCTCAATCCACACGTTTTCTGTCTTTTACTCGACCCATTCTCTCCCTGATCCCACTGGCAGGACAGTAAGCAAGCAGCTGGGTGGTACCTGGTGGCTGGCTGGGTTTAAACCACAACAGCAGTGAAAATATAATTTACTGGAGATGGAAAGCTACTTAAAGAGTCTTTCTCTACTGTGGTACAGGTCTGACTTTGCACCAGAAATACAGAAGTAAGCAGACACTAGCTTACAAGCATATTCCTGTACATAAGTGTTCTGCTATGTAAAGAAGTCTATAATGAAATTAATTTTTCTGTGGAGAACTTTTTAGAATATTTGTAATCAGTTTTTTTCTGTCAGTGAAAAAACATGCAAATATGGCAATTCATCAGCAAGAGCTTAAACATTTTCACCAACATTATTTTCATCTTATTTCTAAATCTAAAACTGAGATTGTTCTAGCAAGAAAACATTCTCTCAGCTCTGAAGGCTGGTCTATTTTTGCTTGTTTTGTTTCAGGAGTATTTCCCAATATATTAACTCTTCAACTCATATATTACACTTTGTCAATTCAGAAGGCACGTAGGAATTGAATGCACACAGATCATAAGAACCAGCCATTTTGACCCTACAAACAACAGCTTCAGGAAGGAGTGAGATTCCCACTGAAAGACAGTGTTTTTAAAAGAAAAAAAAAGAGAAAAAATAAATAAGAACCACTAAAGTTATGAATAGCATCTGCACCACTGAGAACAGACAGCAAGCAACCACAAAATTCACTAACAATATTCAGTGCTGTAGATTACAATTTTACAAAATTAAAAATCTTAAGGAGCAAAATGGCAAGAAAACAATGTGCATATTTGCTGCACAAGTCCAGATTATTTCTATTTTAAAACTGCTCTATTTCCAGACTTGATACTTGTCCCTTAAATGTCTGATCCAGGTTAAAAATTGAAATAAACTCTCTCAATGTCTGATCATCATAACATTAAAGAAAAACAGATCATACGCAAGTAAGACTTGCATCATGCAGTTACTACCTACATCCAAAGTTTTATTACCGGTGTGAAATTTTTACTGTCAATTTTAATGTGCCTTTGTTTGTGAAAAACAGATGGACGATGTGCTGGTTTTGGCTGGGACAGAGTTAAATTTCTTCACAGTAGCTGGTATGGGGCCATGTTTTGGATTTGTGCTGGAAGCAGTGTTGATATCTCAGGGTTGTTGTAGCTATTGCTGAGCAGAGCTCATACAGCACCAAGGCCTTTTTTGTTTCTCAACCCACCAGCAATGAGAATGGGGAGGCACAAAGAGCTGGGAGGGGACACAGTCAGGACAGCTGACCCCAAGTGACCACAGGGATATTCCAGACCATATAGCATCTTCCTTAGCATATAAAGCTGGGGGGAAGAAAAAGGAAGGGGGGGGAGATTTGGAACAATGGCGTTTATCTTCCCAAGTCCCCGCTACATGTGATGGAGCCCTGCTCTCCTGGGGATGGCTGAACACCTGCCTGTCTATGGGAAGTGGTGAACAAACTCCTTGTTCTGCCTTGCTTGTGTACATGGCTTTTGTTTTACCTATTAAACTATCTTTACTTCAACCCAAGAATTTTTTCACTCTTTCGCTTCTGATTCTCACAGGGACAGTGCAACAGTCACTGTGTGGGGCTTAGATGCTGGCTGGGGTTAAACCATGACAATTACCCTTCTTTGATAATTCCTTTCTTTCAGGCATGCCTCCCCTCCCTCCCCGCCCCCACCCCAACAAAAAGTATGGTTATAAAACAATTAGACTCTAATCACTAAATATGGCATCACCCAAAGTGATGTAAATCATCCTGTGAGCACACAAAGCAGCTCATTTCCACATGTAAAGTGCTAGCGGAAAAATTTCTACACTTGTGCTTTTAAAATAGAGAAGGATTTAATTCACGCTCTCATCATAGAACACCCTTTTAAAATTGTCTAGAGGGCAAAAGTGATTACTTCTGTCTACCATGAAGCTGTATTATGTACAGTTTTGAGACCTTTGGAAGCAGAAGAAAAAATTTGTGCAAACAGAGGTTATCTCATCACGTGAAGCCTCCCCCACGTCCTGCTCCTACCTTGTCATCCTGCGAGTCGGGCTGGAGAAGACTGTGTTGCTGAATTGCCATGGGAGGCGGGAGTGGCACAGCATCTGCTCCCTCTTCGCCCTCCTCCTCTCCGCAGCTCTGCATGCCTGAAGAGGATGACTTGGAGAGAGTGCCACTGCTCAGCCCCTCGTTCCGACCTCTCTGTAAGTAACATCAAGATGTTCAAGCTCTGTTATCTCACCAGCATGAAGCTTGTTATCACATGCTCGTTTTAAGACTATCCTGTAGTTTCAGCCCTCTCCCAACAAGTCAACATGCTCCTACAAACAATCATTAACAGAGGGGGAAAATGCAGATGCCAAAGACAGTTTTCAATGTCTGGTAAAAGCAAAAGAATTCAAATACTAAGAAAAAGACATTCAGCTGAAATTTACTACAGGAAAGTGTTATGAAAGCCATGCTTGGTTTCCAAATTCAGTTCTGCAAAGAGAAATCTGTATCTCTCTGAAATATGTATCTTGCTCTGTATCACAGCAAGACTTTTGGAGGACATAAAAAACCCCTATTACAACATGAAGTATTTAATCAATTATCCTTTCTGTCCCTCACAAGGAACTCTGATTTCAAGTACTCAAAGTTTCATGTATGATCTCACAGAATAATTTATCTACCTTTACAGGAAGACAGCATAGATGGTTACTTTTTTCCCCTGACTTGAAGGCACTGGCCTTAAATTTTTCCCTTCACTCACAGAACTGCACAATAACAGATACTGCCAAAACGATGTTACAACTTCAGCACAGAGGGTCTCTTTCTACAGCCTGACATTCAAGGTCAGAGGCCAGTATTCATTCCTAACCAACATCTCTCAATTCATCATGCTGCCAAATCTTCCATCTTCCCTTTCCCTACACTTACTGTGGATCTTCACTAGTGTTCCAAGCATGTAGAAAAGTATGTTGGGAAGAAGAAAAAAAAAAGCAGCAATAAATAAAAAATTGGGCAACTGAGACCGCTTTTCTGGATGGTTAAGTACCAAAACCAATAGTCAGAGTCAATCTAATAAAAGGGAATAACATGCACCCAGCTGTGCCCTTGGAAGCAGTAACAACACATTCATTTCAGCCTGAACTGTAGGTTTGTAACAGAGAATTTGGCTCTTCTCTGCACCTAACTGGAGGCCAGCTTTGTTCATACAAGAGTCCCAGACTTTGAAGGAGAGGGAGATGTTTGTGGGAAGAAGGGAAGCCCTCAGTAGACATCCCTGGTGGTAAAATTTGGAACATTTCACAATTTCCTTCTCTCCGATGAAAACTGCCATGCGTATTATTTGACTAGTGGTAACTGGCCCGGATCGTAGAGCCAATAATTTTTCTGTGCTCTGACTCTTATGCAAGGTGCAATTAAAGCTTTAAGCAGTTAAGCAGCTCTCCCTACACTTTCCCTGATCCATCAACAAGAAAAGCAAAGGAAATACAAAATTACCTGATTATTCCCAGACCTTGAAGCACCTTTACTCATGAAACCACTTTCCTAATTAGCATAAGAGAGTAAAGCCAAAGAACAACTTCTTATTCTCCAGTTTCTCTTTTTAAATTATAGGCACTTCACAAAGCTTCACTAACACTCTCAGAGGGCACAAACTCCCTGGTGCAGGAGTGGTGCAGAGTACAGGGATCAAGGATGAGCATAGGGCACCTAACACTCTGCTCCTGACTGCTGGACAGTCAGGTGAGGAGACAACCTCCACCTGACAACATTTAGTTCCTTGAAAAACATACACACAAGTCTTGGGAAGCTGCACTGAGCACTTACCTCTTCAACAGTTTCATCTTGTGGGGTCGCTGCACTGTCGTCGGAGTCCTTCTGAGAGCCTGCATCGGCACTCTTACGCACCTCTCTGCTCTTCTTATGCTTGTGGGCCAGTTTTTTGACGTGCCCATCTGCTTTGCCACTGCTCAGGCGCCTCACGGGACTGGTGAGCCATTTCCTCAAGGTGTTGCCAGGGCGCTTGGGGCCCGGGGAGCTTTGAGCACCGATCATGTGGGGCTGAAGTGACGTTACGGAAGCGGGAGGACTGGCATCATTGCTGGAGACCGAAAGGGAGTCTGGAAAAAAGAACAAGGGGAGCACTTTAAAGCTGAAGCAAGGGAGAAACAAGGCAAATGGCAGTCCACCGGGCACCGCCCGGCTGGAACCAATGTATGTAATAATGGATATGGAATTGAATTTATGGACAAATCAATGGGATTTTTTTGAGGTAACCTGGCCTTTAATGACACTGCAGCTATCAGTGTTCATGCTGCACATGGCCATCCACGCATAAGCACCATTGATGTGTTCAGAACAGTCAACCTTCATTAAGTGGTTCCTGCCTCAACTATAATTCCTTCTTCCCACTGCTGATACTTATTTGATAGTGAATTATACTTTCCATATGTCATGTAACTTTATGGAAGGATATGCTTGCTTTATCTTTCAATGTTTATTGCTTTGAGCAAAGATGAAGGGTAACAATAATTGCCTCAGTGAGATAAGCAAATCATTTTTCAAACACCAAATTTAATTACAAATGCTCCAATTACTTCCGTTAGTTATATATTTCCCCTACCCTTGGGACAGAGGGAAGAAGAAAACAGAAGATAGTTAAATGTTTTGTCTTTTGCTTAAATTTTCTCTGAGTTTTGGATTTGTTTTGTTTGTTTCTTAAAAAGGCACAAGGCAATGTTTAAAAGCCCACTTGCTGAAATCTCAGGATCAGCAGTAGCTCTCAGCATGACATGCTTGAAGTTCTGTAATGAAACAAAGGATAACCTTTTCTCAAGCCGTAGTTAAATGTGCATGAGGTCAAAAACACTTTCCCACCAAGGTTCCTGTCACTTGACCAGGACTGTATGCTTATGATGAACACCCACTGGTTAGCTGTTGTGAGGCTAGATTTCTTTTCTTCCCCATGCAGCACAATGTTGTTTCCCCCAGGAATTATTTTTTCCTAAAAATACACTTTTTTGCGGGGGTGAAGTGGGGGCCTGGAAACATTCTTGTAACACCACTCTTAGAAATACTGCCTACCACTCGTGTATTAGCAAAGCTATCCTAGGTTGTTAAATATGGGGGTTTTTTCCCCCTGTGTATGCACTTCTGCAGACAGATAGTTTACATAAGGACGACATAAATGATGTTTTGTTGAATGTTTCTACTGCTGGGAATTAAATGCAGTGCTTGTGCTCCTTCTTGAAGCTTGACACAGATGTTCAGGTCACTTCTTCTGGCAGCTTTTCCCTAAGCAGTGTATTGCCAGTCTCACCAGAGATAGTTTGAATTTTGGGGAATAACATGGTCACATTGATGTAGCAAGACACTTAATCATAAACATCCAAATGCTTGGATCCACACACAAATATGTGAGGCTGTTCCATTTCCATGGAGCACTAAGAGTAAATGATGGTTTTGAATGGAGATGGGGAAAGAGACATAAAAGGCGGCTATAAAAAGATGGGACTTGTTATTTTTCCTTCATGTTCAAGCTGTTTCACAAAGGGCACCCCTTCCTAGGAATCCAAAATGTGATCTATCATGCTGTTTATGAAAATGTTTCTCTGTTCCAATAAAACCCATGGCATGTCACCATTAAGATACATCAGCTCTGGTGCCAAGAACATTTGTAGCTTATACTGTATGAACACACACATAATAATTGCTGTTAACCACCACTTTCATCATGTTTCCACAAAGCTGAAGATAAACTTTATAAAGCATACTTTCAGTCTAACAAGCTAGCTGCTAACTCTTTAAACCAAGTCACACCTGCAGAATTATCTTCCAGCAAAAGCTGTAGCTGTTGTGAGCATAGGTAAGGAGAGTTCACACGGTGCCATTAACCTGGCTTCAAGGCTTTAAGTAATGGGTATCAGCAAAAAAGCAGATGCAAAGCAACACTAGTTGTCTTTGTCTCTAAATCTTGGGAAAGCAGTGCTAAGAACTGCTACATTATTTTCTTGCTGAAGTGGAAAGCATAAGGAAGAAATTAATTATCTACAACAATGGTTTTCAACTTGCAATCTGAGTATCCCTCAAGGCACTGGGATTACTGCTTAAGGGTTCTCAGCACATATGCAAGAAAAGCAAGCCTACTAGCCATCAGCATCCACATCATGATAGATTTTTGACTTTATTAAAAAAACCCTGATCTGCTTATTAAAAAAATTCCAAACAAAACTTGCAACCATCTGCAATCTCTGCACAGGAATCCAAACAATCCCCTATAAAAGCTCTGTAAGAATTTAGTTTGACTGCTCTTTCATGAAACTTATCTTTACTGCATCATGCATTTTCATTATAATCAGATGCCTTATTTCAGAAATCACATCAAACATCAGCTGATGGGTATTCCAATAAACAATCTTCTGCTACTCTGCTAGTGGACTACAGAAGATGAGAAAACAGTGGTGGTGTACTTGTAAGTTTCTTAAAGCATAAACTAAATGCCTTGTTTCCAAAACACCAAGCTTGAAGATGTTATAACTACTCAGCCAAATTTTTCTTTCATTTGTATATAGTTTTCCTCTTATTAACAGTTCATACAAGGTTCCTTCCAAGCAAGTAAAATAGAGAACATTCACTCGTTTACATAAGAAGAAAAAATTAAAGCCTTTGCAGAAGTGGACCATGTACTGTTTTGTATTTTTATATCTGTTGCATTTCTTTCCTTTGCAATTACTTCTTTCTAACAAAAAGGCAGTGTGGTGGTGCAGTAACTGATTGCATACAATTGACTTTTACATAAACATGCCTATTCCAAATCATGTAACATGCCTCCAGTTAATAAACCCCTCCTTTTTATAAAGTGTGTTCCACCTCCTCATATTTTCACACATCCTTTTGACAAGCTACAATTAGCAGCTACTGAATTTCTTGTAAAACCAAGCAGTACGGGACAGTGGCCCTGAAACTGTGGAGGACAAGTATTTTTGTCCGACTGTACTTCTGTTGTACCACTCCTAACTCTTAACCCAAGTCAGCCATGAGTTTTTGGGCAGGAGGAGGGAAAAGAGCACAGAGAAGTAAGTAGACTGCACTCAAGCAGAGAGGATCTAAGAGACAAAACAATGTAAACCAGACATGTTCCGCAGCACATACTTCAGCCATATCCTCCCAGACAACATTAGTTTTCATTTGGCGTGCAGCATGTAAGTGCTTCTTATCTTCCCTTCTGCATGACTTAATACGAAATCCTTACTGAAGTATCATTAGGGCTTCAGGGAATCACAACAGTGGACATCTTGTAAGTAGTACACGGAAATGATAGCACTGCTCCACTTTGCTCTTTAAAGCTTGAAATCACTCAGAGAGAAGGAAAATCACAAAGGTTGGGGACCTTTGGAGATCAGCTAGACCATGCCCACTGCAGAGTTTACAGGGTTGCCTCCAGGCACGTTTTAAGTATCTCCTGCGAAGGAGACTCTACAACCTTTCAAGGCAAACTGTTTCAGTGTTCTGCCAACCTCAAAGTAAAACAGCTCTTTCTTCTATTCAGACCTTTCTATGTGTCAGTTTGTGCCCACTGCCCCCTGTCCTGTCACTGGACACAGAAAAGAGCCTGGACCCATCTTCCTGAGACCTACCCTTAAGATACTTGTATGCCTTGAAAACACCTCTTTTGAAAAGAAAAGAAATAAAAATACTTCACTGCTATAGAAGCATCAGCCCAAAGATCAAATTTTATTAAACAGGGCATTAAAAATAGAGATTTAAAATCATCAGTGTTAACCTGAAAAGAATACCAGCCCACTAGGTCTCTTCAGAGATCAGATCTGACTTTTTGCCCTTCCTTAAATTTGCAGAAAACATCTATAAAACCTCATAGCTGAGTTAACACTTACTAGAAATATTCCATGTCAGTGTCTTCCCAGTGAGACCTTATATCATCTATTTTCCCATCCCAGCCAAGAGGCATCCAGATTTTACACTTACTTGCTCCCATCTGTCTCCTCAGAACCCCAGTAACAATACTAAAGCACAGTCATGTACAAAACCTGGGTGCCCATGTTCATGTATTTATGTAGAGGCATTGCCACATTGAAGCATTAGGGAATATCAATATCCAGTACAAGCGTTTTCAAGATCACAGAAAGACCTTTCACCTTCATTGTGAGAACAGCCCCATGGGAGTGTCTCATTTCTCCCTGTCCCATCACTATAAACTACTTCTATCTATATAATTAGGGATACAAACTTGGTTTGATTGATTACCATGCTTAGGATTGTTTATACTAAATCAGCTTTGTTTCCTTTACAACTACATAGAAAATTGTTTTTCTAGCATTGCTCAAGAATATTTTATCTCTAAGATACTTCCTCTCTAAGAGGAAAAAAGGAGTATTCAAAATTGAACTGAGAACAACTTGGAATTTTAAAACCAAAACAGATGGAATAAATTTGGGGTATGCTAACCCCAAACGTGTTTCAAGTACAGTAAACTTTCTAGTGAGAATCAGACTCCCTTTTAGAAAAAGATAAATGAAACAGATGGACATCTTGGAGAGACGAAAAACCCAACACACATATAGCGATCACACACAGCAACACCAACCCAACAAGAAACCATCGAATTTAATAAAACCACTCCTTGTTCAAGTAGAGAAAGTTCTGCAATTCAATAAAGTTCAATAAAGTAAAGCCCTGATGGATGGGCTTTGTTTTATAATTCATAGCCACAATAAGAGAAGAAGGCATTTAACTGCCATTTCCCTGAAAAAAAACCCACATATGTTGCTCTGGTAGTGAGGTCAGAGAGTTCACTCAGAGTCCATAAATATATTTTTGAAGCTAAAGGGCAGGCAGCATGGGTTCCTACCCCCTCAAACTAGAAGATAAAGTTACCTCCAACAAAACAGGCAAATTTTTGAAACGGGAAGGGAAATGGGAATTCTCATTCTAGTCCCAGCTTTCTTAACACTAGAAACATGCACATCTGTGATTAATAAACTGCTTTTTTCCCTAAAAAATAAATCAGCCATGTTAAGCTAGTTGATGACTTGAAAGACTCTGCTTCATATTAACTATTTCCATATTGCTGTTTTTTTGAGTTTTACTGCAGGGGGCTACA